ATATGCGGTTATTGATTCCTCTCATTCCTCAGCTGAGTTCCTCGGAGATAGCCATTAATTTAGATACTTTAAAGTCTGTTCTGTCAAATGAAATCCATAATGTTACCATTCAAACGGAAGCAATTTTTCTGCTCTTTTTAACAAATACCCATGTGGCATGTTTAAACAAATATAAAAACACCACAAACCCAGAGAGTAAATTTCAGATAAAACAAATTACTGATGTATGAAAAGCTTGCTCTAATCCATCATGCAATTCTAATCACACTGCAAAAGCAAATGAAAGGTTGATGTGAGTACAAAATTTCAAATGTCAAAAATGTCAACTGTATTTCCCAGATGCATCTGTAACAGTGAAACACCTCGAGTACAACTGGATATAGCCTTGCTCCAAGTCTGTACTGAATGCCAAGCCAATTAAAGAAAAGTCTGTCTCACAGTCCCTGAACCACAATATTTTCCCTGCCGCCTAGCCCTCCCTGCAATCCAAAAACCCTAAATGAAGAAAGTCTATATTTCCTCAGGTTCAGGATCTCTGGTCTCCCTGGGGCTCCTTTTCAATTTAAATGTGAATATTTGTTGCTATCAAAATTATAAATATTCAGAGACTAAGCGTTAGTCAAGCAATAAGGACATCAGTCTTTTGTGGAGACTTGTTCTTTGTATTGATAGAATCCAGAAATAATCATTAAAACCAATACTTATTACCTAAGAGACTTGTGCAAGTCTGTACTGGTGACGGTAGGGATCAGGTCATACCATACAGAATGGCAAATCTCCACACAGCAGATGTCAGGAAGACGCACATGTCCCAGCATATATTCAGTATCACGTAGCCAACAAAGCTAATGGTGCCTTAACATCCACATCGTGAGCATTAAGATGATGTGGACACATGTACTGGCCACAGGTCAACTGATCCTGACCCCAGTTCATTAGCATCTACTAAATCTCCTGTCAATTTCCATGCTTAACATACATGCAATTTCCACGAAAGATTCCTCTACTATTTGGCAAGACTTACCCAATTTCTTAGCAAATTATCAGTGAATGAGTTTAGTTTTTACGCCACTTTTAGGAATATTCCAGCAATATCGCGATGGGGGTTGGGGGTAAGGGGAGAGGAGAAAGGAGACACCAGAAATTGGCTTCACACATTGTACCCATGTGTGGAATCAAACCTGGGTCTTCGGCGTGCCAGGCAAAAGCTTAACCACTAGGCTACCCCATCATCCCAAACAAATTATCAGTTTTTATCAAACTTCCTATATTATATAAAATGGAACAAACCATCCTATAAAAGAATCTAGTCTTGCAGATAATACAGACAGAATTTCTAAACACCCATTTACTTATCACTCAGTAGAGACTTGAGGCAAGGCTACCAATGGGCAAGCTGGAAGTATATTTGTAGCTACAACCAACGACATATGCGTTAGGAAAAACATGATGCCAGTCCTGATAGAATTACACTTCATTAGGCACAAGGTCTGGCAAATCAATTACGCCTTCTTCCCTAAAAAATTCAAGCCCTCGAAAAAATACAAGGCATTTCCCTGCTGTCTCCAGCCTGTTGTTATCCGGAAGCTAGCAGTCGCCCGCGCCAAGTCCACCCTCTTTAAATACACATATCCCTGTCTACAGTACCTATGATTAAACAAAACACACTTCAATCACCTAAAACCGTAATCTCAAATATGCAAATGAATTATATTCTTGAGACAAGGAAGTGATTTAGAAGGAAATGCTTGACAGGAGCTGTTGTGTATGTATATTCGTAATAACAAAACAAAAAGAGGTATGCAAACTGTTATCTTCAATAGGTTATAGAGTGGAGTCAATAACAATGAAAAAAATATTTTTTTACTTCTAAAATGCGTGTCATTGAAGGTCCTAATTCTTACAAGAACATTTTGTTCAAATGTAGACGAGTTAACAAACTTATAAGGCGAAAAAACATATTATGATTGTAAAAAATCGAAACTGGATGATGGTGAAAGAGACTTAAACAAAAATGTGTTCAGATTTTATTGTTTTTCAAAATGTTATCTGACGATATTACCATCTGTGTAGAGTTTGATGAGAGTGTCTGGTCGGTCGTGAAGTTAAACTATTGTACGAACAAGTTTTTGTTGTGGATTTTCTTTTCCTTTTTTACTTCTAAAATGTGTGTCATTGAAGGTCCTAATTCTTACAAGAACATTTTGTTCAAATGTAGACGAGTTAACAAACTGATAAGGCGAAAAAACATATTATGATTGTAAAAAATCTAACCTGGATGATGGTGAAAGAGACATATTAAAAGAATGAGTTCAGATTTTATTGTTTTTCAAAATGTTATGTGAAAATATCTCCATGTGAGTCAAGTTTGATGAGAGTTTCTGGTTGGTTGTGAAGATATAACTATTGTACAAACAAGTTTTTGTTGAGGAAGAATTAAGTTTGTGCTTGGAGGAATTAGGAATATAGTATATAAAAACATTTCTATATACATAATGTTTTCTATTTTCTTTTTGAAAATGTTGACCAATTTAAAACCAACTAAGCTCAACATCTTGTCTCATGTTAAAAAACAGGTAAAAAACAGAAACATTTAATTTAAAAACCCTAATTATCAGCCTGACACAAAATGCTACTTTTATGTAACAAGTAATCTTTTGACCACCTGAACACATAATCTGACGAAATGGCCTGGACTCGTTTTGTCGGTTTCCTAATTACACTGTGTGAGTTAGTTCTGATCAATGCATTCTTCTCGTAAAAATGCACAAGGAGTCATCTCCAGTGTAAACAGCCAGCAAGCATTTATAAACACAGCAATGTTATCTCAACATAAACATCATAGTTGAGGGCCATACTTACAAGATTATAAGCCCTGAACATGGATGTATATGTTTAAGGGCAAGATTAAAGGTGAACAATGCACTACCATTATTAGACCGTTCTTCATATTTGCTCCCAAAACAAAATATGTTCCTATCTGCCCCTCAGATAGATATTTATGTTGTAACAGAATGCCATTAAAACCATACAAGCCCTGAACCTGTATTCAGTTTAACTGATAATGCTGGAAAGGTGAGCCAGACAGTTTTATCAGAACAGGAGACAGGGATTACGTAAGAGATTCCTTCAGTTTGACATACACTTGATGCACTGGTCATCTACACTAACACTTCCATTAAACCTTTATTAAATCACAGACACTTTACAAGTCAGCCAGAGAGCCTTATCTCAGGAACTGATTTGAACTGAGCCAATCGGTATCCAATTAATGTAAATCTTTTCACTTGGCTGGCAAAATTGGATAAGAATTCACTGGAATTTTAACAAAATCATTTAGAGAATAAATGTCATCTGCATAAGATAGCCTAGACTATATTTATTTTCTTTACGCATTGTACGAGCAGACGTAACATAAAGGTAAGAAAAGTCGAATCTGTTAAAGTCACGTCTGCTCAAGATTGTCAATATCAAACTGTATGAAACTTTCAGGAAATGGGCAGATAGAGGAACCAGCCTGTTCATAGCACGACATGATGACAACAATATCAATGGTGACCCCTCAAAGGTCACAGCAACATGACCTGGGACTGATACACAGACCCACCCAACAGGAGGAGGGATTTCCTGGGAAGGAAACATCTGCTGTCTTAAGCATATTCAAGCATGTTACTTGTATGTACACAAGCCAGTTTGCAATTAACCATGAGAGTCAAAGAGTCCTTATCATCGCCCTAATGTAAAACAGTAACATTTTCAGAGATCATTGATTAAAGTATTTAGAACCCATGGAAACCCCCTTACAATGCAGCCTCGTACAAGCATTTGCCACTTGCTTCTACTTACTTAACCTGCGACTAACCTTGTGATTTTGCTAACAGTGAGACTCCATTTTTTTAAATTAAGTGATATTTAAGTTATTTAAACAGTAACTGAACTGCTGACATGATTTCAGTATCAAATATCCACCTTTTTCAACATTTCCGTGCTCCTATCAGAGCTGTTCTCAACAGGTTCACGTGAGACTGCAATTTTAACACTATCAGCTATCAAAAACTATGTAAACTATATACTCTGATAGGCACTTCTGACACGTCTAATCCTAATTCTCAACTGAAGGGCATTCATTGCCAGCATTTCATAAACAAACCGTGGGCTGAGAGGTTATATCACTACGCCTACTCGGATGTAAAGAAATTGTAAAATGGAATTAAATATTTGGGTGTTTTTGCTTATTTTATTCTGTCATGGAGAGTTGATGGCAGTGTTGTGTTATGCGTCATCAGGCATCAATGGACGAGTAATTATGCCACTTCTCACCCACTCACATGAAGTCACAGCCTGGACTCTACATTGTGCAGCTCAAGGCATCTTCACACACAGTGTTGGGGGCATCATCCATGCACAGGGTCGGGGATGGGTAGTCTGTATGCAGCGGCCATACAATTTCCGAGTCATGTGCTGGGATTCGAACCACGGACCTTCTGATCCTATGTCGGACGCCTTGTCCACATGACCAAAGTGGTTAACCCTGTCAGCAAGCTGACAAGGTAAGGATGTCATCTGTGGGATGACTCCACACCCTGTTACATGTAGGTAGTGACAGCCTGTGCTTACATTATACAGCTCAAGGCAGCTACAGACACAGTTGGGAGTGGGCTGTTTGTGGGTAGTGACAGCCTTGATTCTATATCGTACAGCCCAAGGCAGCACATCAGCACACCCTCACGAACAGTCAGTGAGTGAATGAGTACGATTTTATCTCGCTTTTAACAATATTCCAGCAATATCACGGTGGGGAACAGCAGAAATGGGCTTCACACATTGTGCCCATGTGGAAAATTGAACCCAGGTATTCAGCGTGACGAGTGGACACTTTAACCACTTGGCTACCTCACCGACCCCTCTCACACAGAGAATTGGGTGGGTAGGGATGTCTGCAAGCAGTGACACCACTTCTTACTCGTGTTGATGTTAAAGAATGACAAGAAGCAACATACCTCTGAGGTTCTTTATGAAGTCTTCCAGTTTCATTTTGCGGTCATGTTTAATGTTGGAATTGTGGAGGTCAGTGTTGAGCATGATGATGGCGAAGGCCAGGAGGAAGATAGTGTCCGTGTTCTTGAAGTTCTTTATTTGGTCAGGGTTACACACACAGTATCGGTCAGCAAATGCCTGCAAGACAACAAAGTACAGTTCCAGAGTGATGGCTGAATGGAATTGTTACCTTCAAAATGCTAGGGGTGGTTAGGTAAAAATGCATTTAAAGACAAATGGCAATTCATATTTAACATTAAAAACATTTTTGTTCTGTTATCATAAACAAACAAGCTCTGCTGACATCAAACTTTTGGGGCGATGATATTTTCAGCTACCATCAAAATGCTAGGGGTGGTTTGGGAAAAATCCATGAAAAAACATTGGACAATGATATTTAACTTAAAAACATTTGTGTTCTGTTATCATAAACAAACTAGCTGTGCTAACTTCAAACTTTTGGGAGGATGATATCTTCACTTTCCATGTACCACTAACATTCTCATTCCCTTATACCTGCCTGTCCTTTTTGTCAAACAAATATCATGATGATAAATATTTACAATTTTCCTAAAGCCATAACATAACATGAATCTTTGCACTTATTCAAACATCTCTACACAAAAGCAACATTGCTCGCTTGTCTAGACTCAGTAATACATAGACGTATAAAAATATCATATAAAATATATTTTTGGCCTCGTAGGACACAAGGTTCAATGTTGTTCTTTTTCAGCTTTGCATTTCAGACATAGGAGACATGGGTCAATATTTTTTTTTTTGGCATAGCTGCATATTCCTGTGGTCCAGAGTTTGGGAATTGTCTAGCTGTTCTAGTCACAAGTCCTAGAATTCAGACTATTTCAAAACACGCCTGTGCTCCTCACAAACGATCAACAGCAAGTTTTTCCCCTACAAAAAGCATTCCATTCGGTCTCTCTATATAATTACCCATCTCAAACCACAGATAACCCAGCCCGAAACCTATTTCTCATTTCTTAAACACACCACCCAAAGATCTGAGTCTTCTTACAAGAGACATTCCCAGGATTTTGGCCTCATATTTTTGTTGTTCTGAGATAATAAAAACAACAGCTGGGTCAGCCTATCTGGCCACCGGAGTTCAAAGGTGCCCCCTTTTCATACAAAAAAATGGTGGCCCTTACTCCCTGACAAAGAAATGCTTTTTGCAGGTCTTGAAAGAAGAAACATTCTCTCTTGCATGTTTGCTATCACTAAACCAGGGAGTGAAACAAAGCACCTGTTCAGGAAAGATTTCACAGACCACCAAGGAGCATTTCTGAGACATATTTCCTTCCTAACATAACATTGAGATGTTTTGCATTGTAAACTAGGAAGTATTGCCTAAATAACGTAAAACCCATTACAAAGATTTTTTTTAAGATCTTTAAAAAAACACTGGGAAGTGTTGTGTAAGTAAGTAAACCTATTATAAAGACTTTTTCTCAAGTCATGAAAAAATCTTGTTTTTATATTTTCAGATACTTTATTTTTTAAGCTGTCTTAAAAACTTAGCACAGCCTTAATCATGGAACAAGGAAGTATTTAAAATTAATTAAATAAATAACATGTATACACACAACCAAGGAAATTGAGATAATTTTTGTATCGAGATTATCTATGTATCGAGATTATACATGGTTAATCCACTGTAACATTGTGAGCAATGTTCTAGCAATATGGAGGACACTAGAAATGGGCTTCACACATTGTACAAAAGTGGGAATCAAATCGAAAGGGAATCACTTATACAAATATTTTAATATTATATATCGTGGTTAATCAACTGTAACATTATGAATCAACAACATATTCACTGAGCGGATCAGAAGATGTTCATTATCAAGTTGTGCAAGGAAGGAACCTTGACTCCTGTGCTAATGCACCGGAAATGATCATGTGTAAATAATTAGGATTTTTTTATCGACATGTTGAATAAGTTATGAGGATGACCATTTCATCTGCTTTTGGCAATTTCCATGAAGCGTAAGAACCGGAATGGACAGTGGTGCCATGGGGATGAGGACTTCAATAAATGTTTCATTACCTCCATCAATCTCTCGATCTTCTGGGCTTCACCCTGGGAACAAACAGATTTAATCAGAAGATCAACACCTTGTCATGGCTATGTGTTCTGTCAATTTCACTTTTTCAACAGCTCTTTGTGCAACATGCGAGTTCCTTATTCAAGGGAGAGAGTGAGTATGGTTTATGCTGCTTTTAGCAATATTCCAGCAAAATCACAGCGGGTACACCAGAGATGGGCTTTGGACTTGTACCCATGTTGGGAATCGTACCCGGTCCTTCAGCATCACATGAGTGAGTGAGTGAGTTTAGTTTTACGCCGCACTCAGCAATATTCCAGCTGTATGGCGGCAGTCTGTAAAAATCGGAGTCTTGACCAGACAATCCAGTGATCAACAGCATGAGCATCGATCTAATAGCATCATATGTATGGCGTGTTGTGTTGCGATGCGATGCGATGTACATATTGTCACTCCATATCAGCTGATGGACATGTAAACGGAAAGCTATGCAAAATTCCACCAATCAGGTATCTCATACTCATTCAGTGTAATCTGATATTTATATTGAGGTAGTATCAGCCAATCGACCAGAGAAACGATGGACTGTAGTTATCAGAATTATATAACAAATCATTACTGCTCAGCACCAAAAAACTACCATAAAATAGCTAGAAAAGTGTTATTGCAGAAAAACACGACAAATTTCAACTGACCGGCATTCTGAAGTAGGATTGGTATTTTCGTAGCGCAACGTCCACCTGCAGTCCAGCTAGGTCAATTTCTTCTGTGAAGTAGCTGAAACAAGAATAATGGACGTCAATATTTAGACAGCACCAGAAAAGGATGAAACACGATGGAGTCACCATATCAAGGGACGATGGCTATAGATTGGCACGGACAATGGTCCTCCTTGGCCGAAACACTGGTCAATACTTCAACGCCCTCCTTACCGGGTCTCTCACTGTAAGTCTGACCGGGAATCTTTCACAATCACGTACATTGTCAATTCATTTCTCAGATGCCGGTGAAGATTCGCAAAGTTTGGTGTATTTGAATTGAATTTTCATTCAACACCAGAATAATTCTCACTCCAAATAATGACATTGTGATAACAAACGCAGCACTATGGGAAGAAACACATTCTTCTATGCAGAGAATAACCGAATTCCCATTCTGCTTGGCACTACCAAAATCTCATTTATTACAACTGACTAAACTATTTGTAAAGGATTCAATGAGAATCTAATCCCTAGTCTTAACAGATGGATATCAAATTGAAGTTTTGATCTTTGTCACATACATAAACTGACAAAATTCAAATTAGATGAGTTTCCAAGGCTTAGAAGCATGATCAGCAGATGAAAGAAATTGTTCAAAACACTTTGATAAAACTTGACAACATTCAAACAGATCCTACAACTACAATTTGCCCCTAACATTTCTTTCACAATCAAAACCTTTCGGAAAGTTGTTATGAGAAAACTTGCATGGTCGTGGGCAATGTTTGAAGGTACTTACACCTACATGTTTCAATTATTCTCTCACAAGGATCTCTCCTTCAGGCTTCTCACAAGCAAACTAGCAGCAATAAAGTCAACCATCTGCCTTAAAACTGAGAATTAGAATATGCATAACATGTTTCGAAATGCTTGTCTTTGAAGTCTCGCCTCTCTTTGAAGTTGACCTTCACCCCTCCAACCATCATGGAACACATTTCACTTATGGAACAGGTCACCTTTGGCGACATTTTTCGCAAAAGGAAACAGCTTAATATCTAAAGAGTTGTAACATGTAACTAATCCTGCCCATGTACAATTTATTAATTTAAAGAATACCCTAGAATCATTATTCCACAGTTTAATTTAATAATTACCACCAATTTGTGAGGAAAGTTTGCAGAAAATAACCGTTTCTGCCTTGCCAGTTCTGGTTTTATTGAAGAGGCTGAGCCAAGGCCTTGTTTTCCGTTGGGGTTCTCTCGGTCAAGACTTAGCACCAAGGTTTAACAAGATCATCATTTTAATCCACATTGTTTCCCACAAAATTAAATCCTCTCAAACCAAATGAAACCATTTGACAATAAGATCTGTGATCCTGAACTTAATTCTTTTCAAACATGGCCAGAGTTGATTTCGTTCTGCGATCTTATGAGGATATTTGCTAAAGATTTTGAACAAAGATAATTATCTGGGGAGGTTATTAAGAAAACTGAACCCTATTTTTCAACGCTGTCAGCTCAGGCGCTGGTGTTTAGATTTGTTCGCACACAGGAGGACAAAGACAGAGGAGACGAGCCAGTGACAATCGTAACGAAGACCCTGCATTGTGGCAGTGATCCGATCTGACCCACACCCCTGATTGGCCAGTCCAGCAGCAATCACTCCTGGACGAGGCCTTACCACTTCCCAACGTTTCAATTTGATTACACCATTACCTAATCTCATAAAAAAAAACATGATACACTGACTCCAGCTTAATTAAGATTAAGCCAACTTCCACTGCTACCGTAATGATATTACACTTTTTTCAAGGAGATTAAAGAAAGCAAAAATACAAAAACGTTCAGCTGCTAATCATTTTTGCTAATACAGAACTGTCTGTCTTCTTATGCAGGAACCAATCTTGTAACATTTGTTGGACAGGGTAAGACTTTCGAACACACCTGCAATGCATCACGTCGGTTCCCCAGGACATCATAGTCAACCCTTGACAAAAATCCGGTCAGATTTCCAATCTCAACCCTCAATTACATTGCACTAAATCTGCCCCCACCCAATGAACTTCCCAGAGTCATAAAACTGTAAAATTTTGAGTGAATTATCCCTTTCTGAAATGTTCAGTATTAACTGTGGTTGCTGACAAAAGAATCACATCATTTTTGTCAAATGATTTAAGTCATGTTTTAAATGCCAAATCTTGTCACATTTAGGGGGTCATTAATCAAAAACATAATTCTAACCATTGCGCAAATCCAATATTTCAAAATGACAATCCTTTAACGTATTGATTTCTTCATTAAGAACATGAACACTGGAATATAGCGGAGGTGTTCCTGACAAAGACCAAACAGCAACTGTCATCTGCCAAATCATGTCAATATCACTGCTTTGTGTTGTCAGTTTCAGTTTGTGCATTTCACTGGACATCACGTCACGGACAAAGACATCCATTCACATGGCATTTTGTCATCATTAATAATAAAGGTGTATATTCATATCTCTGAATACTACCAGCTTAATTGTCTTTCTGTTACAATTAGGATCAATTTTCACCTGGGAGCCAAACATTATCGTATCAGAGGTCCCTCGGTGCATCATAATTCTGCCTAATCGCTTGTCAACAAAACCCAGATAGTTGTCACATGTTCCAAAACTGTCAGTTTACCGCGAAAATTTACAGATCATCTTCACATAAAATACGCGAACATGATCATAAAGCTGTCAATACAGAGACCCAAATTTATACTCAAATCAGAATACATTTTCATTTGTCTCTTGACGTAATTCTGTCTCTAATCCTTATCCAGTGTAATATTGGCTTGGAAAACCCTCTTATGTGCCAGAAAAAACACTTCAACAGAAGACGAAAACAATATTTCCGATTGTGAATCCAATATCCCAGCTTCTGGTTCCAACAAAGATGCAACCTTCGGGCTATGAGAAAGCCCACTGAGGCAAAAGGGCATATTACAAACATGGGATGAGGTTTTTATCAAAGGTCTTAACAAGTTGTCAAGCATTTCCAAGTGGGTGATTACTTTGGTACTGACTAAATGACTGTAGGACGAGTTAATAAATCATAGAGTTCATGAATATTAATGATTGCCGTGGGGTTTAGAGTTACACAAAGATGGTGGCCATATTTGACACGAAATAATTTGGAGGGATACATGTGACAAGTTATAGCAAATAATGGAATGACAACATACGAGATGATGAAATGGGTTCAAATAAATATTAATATAACAGTATGTTGCATTATAATCAGGTCCATAATGTTTCCGAAAATATCTTTTAAACATCATGTTAAAATAATATCATAATATTTCATTATCATGACAAATGATAATTGTAAAAGCGTGCTGAAAGTTAACAATTTCCTCATCTGATGTAGAGAAAAAATGAAAATTTGAATATGATCAGATTCGGTTTTAAAAGAACACTTCAAGCAACCGTAACACTTCCTTAACATGCATGACATTCAGAAGGAAGTAAAAACCAGTTACTATTACGATTCTAATCAACATCATTGTTGGTATGAACTATGAACGCTTGTAACTTCCGTAGAGATCTTCAGATCCAGTGTTGACGATACAAAAACAGCTAACATGACGATTAAAGCCAATGAAACCAAATCCAGTTCAACTGACACTGGGTGAGAACAAGCAATCGGTTATAACAATCAGAGAAGGGGCAACAAGTCCAGCTGAAATATTTAAAATGATAAATCAACAAGAGTGATGTAATTTCATTTTTTGATTTGGGACTGACCTCAATTAATAACATCAAAGCCTGTAAATGAGACTTTAGTGAAACATCTCCCATTTAGGTTGCTGCAACAGTGTTCTCAATTACCAGAACTGTGTCTGTCTTAAGCCGGCAATCAATACTGCCACTCTCTGACTACAAATACAATGGAAGGACCTCGGTGAAGAACATCGCACATTTTAACCTGTCCACTTAACTTCTAGTGCTAGTGATTGTTTGAAAAGAACAGTGAAAGAAAATGGATTACATGTATTTTGTAGTTTGCCTTTGAGAGAACAAACACCCTTTTAAATTTCAGAATCCGTAAAATATTTTTTGGGGAAACTGAACATTCGTATTCGAAGCTTTAGCTTTCTCTCTGGCAAAGAAACATTGTCTATTAATCTGTCCAAGGGACTTGTTCCACAGAGTGATCTTAGCGCTAAGACAGTTCTAACTCCTATACTTCAGCAAAAAAGTTCCAATAGTCCTTGTGCTAAGTTCTCCACACTGGAAGGGGCTAAGAAGGTTCATCTTGTTTCAAGTGAATGTGAACACCAAAGACAATTCGTAAACAATATTCTTTTCACTTCACAATATTGATGTTTAACAATTAATCCAACAAGGACACGTTTCAAACACAGTACAGCTTCACTAAGAAGAATACCAGATCATGCTGGCGTCCCCGCAGCCATATGCACGTGATTGACAACTAACAGGCAATTTGCGTGATTCGGGATGAAAATCAGAGACGACCTACTCCAGCAGATCTGCTAAATATCGTCATAAGGGGCTTACAGCTTCAGGGTGTCTATGATGCCAAACAACGTGAACAGTTGACTGGTTGTACGTCATACAACCTAGGATTTGGCCAAAGAATCTTCCAGAATCGGCATGCATGACCGGCTATGTCAGACACATTGGCAATATAACTCACTCACCGATATTTGTCAGAGAGCTAGTACAATTATCTACAACATGAAAGGGTGATTGCGTATTTGCTTAAAGTGAAGCTGAACATTGGGTCAATAGAAGATGAACGTCCCTCAACACTGTGTTGTGATAATCATGTTTGTCTTGGCGCGGTGTCAGTGATATAGATTTGCTCTGATTTGAAACTGACTCAAACCATAAACAATAAGACACTTCATCTTGTTCCCATGTAGATAAAAGATATGAATATTTTTCATAATTTTAAAACAACAAGTTATTGATAATAACACGTCAATGCCAGTGGATAATTTGTACAAGAATCTGATAAAAGAGATTGTTGTTTTTTATTAGTGTGAGTGAGTTAGTGAGTTTAGTTTTACGCCACACTCAGCAATA